TATTCTCAACTACTCCTTATCCACATTACAAGAATAACTGAAAACAGTCTGAGAGACATACAAGCTAATCTTCGAAAGTTGACCTTGAGGTGTGAGGCTCGTTGAGCAAGCGTTTTTTTAGTGTCAGCTTACCCAAACCAGATGAAACATTCTAAAGGTTTTTGGCCTTTGATTAAAGCCTAGAGTCAACTTAATCGGGAGGCGCATAGAGCCGATGACTCATTTGGTGTCTTGTGGAAGTGCTTCGATGTGAACATGAGTCTAATTTGTTGCATATTCAACGAAATTTCTCAATGAAGACAAACCGGGAACAGAAAACGGATCATATCGAAGTACGCCGATGGTATTTCATCGCAGCAGGAAAAAGTTGCACAAAACCAATCTGGAGGATAGTCTGGGCTGGTTGGCCGATTTTTCCTCACGCTTTCTTCTGGAAAATGATGGCTCAATTTATAATGCAGTTGAGATCACGTGATATGAGGCCGTTATGGAACACCCAACAAAGTAGGGCACGTATTGATTTTACCAACAGATACAAATCGCGTCGCCCATCTAATTGGCAATTGGTTTATCTGCCTGGTGGCCAGCATGTGGTGAGAGCTGATGTACTGAGCTAGTTTTCTAATGAATTTCGTTTTACCTGGTAAAAGAAGTAAATATTCTCCCCAACTGACGAGTTAGGACGGAAGCATATACTGAATTCATTTTCGCCTGTTCTCCGAGCTTGGTAACTCTTGGCCGATCGCTTATGTATGTTGTTCTTGAGTAACTTTTTGTCTGCCGTTTCGGTTGTTTCCAACCTTGATCGCTGAATTCGCAAGGAAAGAGTGATGGGCAAGAGTCGCTTTTCCGTTTGGATTTCTGTTATTCGTTTAAGTTCTCGCATCACTCGGTGGCCACTATTTATTGCGTCATTTGATCCTTGAGTTGCAGTGGCACGTACACGTGATCTGGTTTGATGATCGTGTTAGCTGAGTTGATCGAACGGTACCAAGCCCGAGAAATTCACTAACTTGTTTGGACTGGCCCTAGTTGATTTTCACTCATTCAAAGTCAATTTTTTTTTCTTTATTCTGATCTTGATTGAGGGAAATGAGTGAATATATAGGTCGTGGATCCTTACTTTCAATTAGTGGTGTTCATGGAACCTAGTCCATAGTTTTACCCCAGTTCGTTCTGTAATGTGTTATGGGTTGCCTTTTTAGTTTATTTTTTAGAAAAAAGTGCTCTTGTCGTCCTTTCTTTGTTTTTAGGAAACTCCGGAAATAATCGATTGTTTTGTGTTTGAATTAACTGCGNNNNGATCCAATAAACCCGTTTAATTACTGGGTAGCTGATCACCTTGTTTCACTTATTGCTATACCCGACATAACGCAGTTATAATTGATCTGTGGGTTTTTTTCACTCGGTAAGCATCCACGACTTTATGATAATAATAGTAGCCACGAGAACATTACAAGTCCGTTGATTTCTTACCTCGATTTCTACTCTCGTTCGTCACTCAGCCCCGTTGTTTCCCGATCCTGATACACCGTCTACAAAACCAAATGACTCCAGACCTATTTTGGTTGACCGGACCCAATCAAACGTGACTCGCAGTTGTTCCGAACCGGACTTTATGGTCTCAACTACTCGGACCTGCAACTCACCGCGATCTCCAGCATCAATCAATTCCGCGGGTACCGAACCGCTTCCTTCGCTGGATGCACGTATTCTCAGTCGCTTGGCTCAACTACAAAGCCGGTTCGAATCTGTGTTAACCAGATTGGCGAATTCGTTCCCTAGACAACGACTGAGATGTGTTTTTCTAATCAATAATTATGACCTAGTTATCAGCGTCTTGTCGGTGAGTTACACTAATTCACCACCCAAACTTTATTGACACATGTCCGCTGTCGTTCGACTCACTATCATGCCTTTCTTTTTGGGAACAACGTAGTAAAGGTTCGAAGGCTTAGGTCACCGTTTCAGTTAACTGTATTGCAGGCTTTCGTGCTCATTGGGTCCAATCATTGTGTTGTCCGTTACACTGATTTGTGCGTTGAAGAATTGACGAAGAGTCCTTACACTCTGTTGATCCTCAAAGTATCTAAGCAGAAATTCGAAAATATCGTGCTGGAAACATTGAGTGTTCTTCCGTGCTTATATGTTGATGTTTTCTGTCAAACAAACTTAAACTGCTCACTCAGTTGCGCCAGGTTGTCGAACGCAACAATAAAGAATGTCGTTTTGAGTTAGCGCTTTTCCCCCGTCTGCTATCAGCATACATTCGCCTACTCATAAACTACGCTATCCAGACATTCAATTCATGGCTACAATGTGATTACAGAATGCTAGTGCGTCCACAAATGATGGCCATCAAAATAGTTAGGTTGAATTGCTATTCATACGCAGGGAGACTGGAGTCCTTGGAGTTATATCCCAATCATGACCGGCGCACCAGAGACGTGATTATAGTAGACCAAATAATGCATAACGCAAGCCATCCGTGTCACCCGTTGCTAAATTATCACCCAACGTTCATCCTAGAGGACATCCGTTCCAAGTAGTGGTATCAAAATATCGATTGGAATACCGCCGTCAGTCATTCAGTTTTTTACAACCATTTGCCATACACTTTGGTGCACCGGTTTCCGTTGGTGCCTTTTGGTTGCCCATTTGGAGGTGGAATAGGAGAAAGCCTCTGAAAGGAGTGCCCGAGAAGTTTATTTCAATATTGCAATCCCTCTACAATAATAGCCGATGCCGAGTTCGAGCTTACGGCACTTTTTCACCCGAGTTCACCACGGAAATTGGAGTTAGTCAGGGTTGCCCTCTCTCTCTCTCTCCTTTTCTAGTTAACTTTGTCATAGATTTAATTCTTGAAACAGCCCTATCCTCGTGCGGGGATAGCGGTATCGATTTACTTCCTGGTGGCAGACTGTCTGATCTAGAGTATGCAGACGACATTGTGCTACTAAGTGACGATCCAGGTAAGCTTTTCTGGATAGTTTGAGTGCTAGTGTAGCGATGTTCGGTATGCGTTTTGCACCTTCAAAGTGTAGAATGCTACTACAAGATTGGGTTGATCCAGCGCCCAGTCTCATCCTAACTGGGGAAGTAGTAGAGGAAGTAGACAAATATTGCTATCTAGGCAGCTATACCTCACCCGGCGGACGCATCACAGATGAAGTGTCGGCGCGCATACAAAAGGCTCGATTGGCATTTGCCAACTTGAGACATTTGTGGCACCTTCGCGACATCCGGCTGTCTATGAAGGGTCGAGTGTATGCTGCAGCAGTTCGACCAGTCCTGCTCTACGGTGCAGATACTTGGTCACTAAAGGAACAGGATAAAAATAGACTGTCGATGTTCGAACACCACTGTCTACGTAGCATTGCACGTGTCTGGTGGGGTAACCGGGCGAGCAATGCTGAGGTTAGGCGTAGAGTTTTAGGCAGTCGCGGTCGTCCACTAGAGCAAGTGATTGACCTCCATAGATTACGCTTGTTGGGATATGTGCTACGCATGTCACCAGATAGGTTGCCACGGCGAACGATGTTTACCAAGGCTGGTAGCGATTGGAAAAAAACGGAGGGCGGTCAAACTAAGACCTGTCATGAGGGCATGAAGACCTTAACCAGGAGACTAGGTCACATAGGCCCCGTTGGGCTCCCTGGCTGGGGACCTCGGGATGGTGGTCACCGATGTTTAGAGATACTGAGTGATATGGCTGGGTGTCGCAAACAGTAGCGCTCTTGCATCCACTCGTTATTTTTCTAACACCACTCTATATGTAATCCGGATCTTCCGCTTGAATTTGCTTCGACATTCCAATCTTCATTTCGCGCTTTCATCCAAATGGGCAACCAAAACGGGCGCACGAAATGCATGGTTAGGGTTCTCATACCCTGAAGCCAACTCTCATCTTGAACACACCTGGCTTTATTCCACCCACTATCTGCCTGAGCGAAAATCATTTGTGGTGGCAACCTATTTGGTGGCATGCGTAAGTCATGCACCAACCAACGTAATCTATACAAGTTGACCACTTGCTCCAGTAGGCGACTGCAGTTACCTAAAACTCTGCACCTAACCTCAGCATTACTCGTCCGGCGGCCCCACCAGATTCGTGCAATACTGCGTAGACAGCGGTGTTCAAACACCGACAGCCTCTCTTTATCCTGTTTTCTCAATGGCCAAGTTTCTGCACCGTATAGCAGAACTGACCGACCTGTCTCGGCATACACTCGACCTTTCGCAGACAGCTGGATGTCGCAACGGCGCCACAGATGTCTCAAGTTGGCATATGCCAACCGGGCCTTCGGTATGCAAACTGACACTTCATCCTTGATGCTTCCATCGGGTGAGATGTAGCTGCCCAAATAACAAAACTTATCCGCTTGCTCTATTACTTCCCCGGTTAGAGTGAGTTTGGGTACTGGACCAGTCCAGTCTTGTAGTAGCATTTTACACTTTCAAGGTGCACAACACATACCGAACATGGCTACGCTGGCGTTCAAACTATCCCGAAAAGTTTGTAACTTACCTGAATCTTCACTTAATAGCACAACGTCGTTTGCATACTCTAGATCAGACAGTCTGCCACTTGGGAGTAAATCAATGCCGCTATTCGCGCACCAGGATATGCCTGTTTCAAGATTTAAATCTATCACGCGGTTAAATAGAAATGAAGAGAGAGAGAACAACCCTGACTAACTCCACTTTCCCTGTCGAAAACTGGCGAAAAAGTGCCGTAAGCTCGGGCTCCGCTGAGGGGATTAATACAGAGCGATTGTAATATTGAAATAAATTTCTCGGGCAGACCCTTTAGAGTGAGGCAGCGCCAGAGTTCAGAGCGGTCGACCGAGTCGGAAGCCGCTTTGAAATCGTGGAAAACAGAGATGGTGGGTCTACGAAAAGAATGGCAATGCTCCAGAATTTGGTGAGGAGTGAAGACGTGGTCGATACAACCTCAACCAAATCTAAACGCAACCAGGTTATCATGTGTGCACCCTTCACTTCTGACAGAAAATCGACGGAATATAATACGAGCGAGAACTTGTGAGGCAATGTTGATTGAACTAATTCCTCTGTGGTTTTCACAGGAGGACCAGTCGCCTTTCTTGTGAGTTTGTATGACAACCGAGGAGTTCTTTAAAATGGTGGTCTTTGCAGTGTAGCCGTTTTTCTGTCAATCGCTTTCAAATCTTAGTAGTGGTTGATTTTGCTAAACCCTCAATTGGCGGCTAAATTGGACAACGAACACGAAATACTAAACGTATATGGACACGTATTACACTTATTGATCTCGCTTGCGGTCTATATCGACGCCAATATAGCTGTAATGCCATTGAGTACCAATACGCTGAGAGTTTTCAAATTGGTGATGCCGTCGTACTGTTCTCAACAGAAATACCTTGGAGTATGCGTATGATGACAGAAAACGTCAGCCAATCATTCAATCCGGCTTATCCCTTTAGCTACTGCAACTTTCGTTGACCGTACTGTTCGCGAATATGACAATTAGCGGATACCTGATTAACCTTTTCATACACTCTTGAGCAGTATCTCTTTTGCACAATTGAGGCACCCACTTGCAGTTGAATTCGAGCAATGTCACAAATGCAGTGCTTCTTGACTCACGGTTTTTGGAATCACCAGCTCTTCTCGGAAAATCTGCTAATCATGTGCATCGGATTCGTCACAGAATGTTTGGTATGATTCCGGTGGTCCTTGTCGGGAGTTCTCTCATCTATGAACCGACCGTGCATAATTCCTTCCCTCAAAGCTCCTGGGTAGAATCATCGGTTATAGGGCTCCGTATTCTTGATAAAAACGGTTGTCGCAGCGAAAACGTTGCGCACGATCTCAAAGTTCTATTCGCCCATTGAGCTGTGTTGTGGTGAGATATTGAGTAAACAAGCATGCGTTGTCTTACTCGTAGTTTAATTTGTAGTTAATCTTGCAAAGGCGTTTCAGCAACAAATATAGTC